GGATACACGTCTTAAACCAAGCCTTACCTAATTTTCAAGACTTAATGAACAGAAGGAGCCGAGTTTGTTTCACCTAGTGAGATATTTAGCAACCCCACCCACGCAGAGGCCTAAACAAGGCGTATTTTGGCGAGGCCAGTCCTTATTATGAAACGTTTTGACGACTTTCGTCGAGGGAATAGACCGGCTTCCCGTTCACACAGGGTGTATTGGACGGTTGATACAAGATTAATATCGTGTAAAAAGTCATATTCCTCGATGCAAGAGTGAAGGAAGAAATGTGAAATCCCCGAGTGGTGTGCTGGGAGAGGGGGAAAGCTGGTGAGAGTAGGGATTGAACCATGACTTGATAACTACATTGATGTTTAACAATAGAGACTGAATTGTCCGGCTGAGAATATCAGAACGGGGAGAAATGATTTCTTTGTTGTCATTGTTGTTATGTGTTTGCCCATCAGTTTTCATACAGTTAAATCGGGATGGAGCTACAGCTTTAATCCCTGTGTCTCCTTTAAGAAGGGATCACCAAGTAAAGGCAACTGCCAAGCTGATGTTGCGGTAAGTCTATGAGCAACTGTAGGAAATTAACAAGAAAGCAGAAAGCAGATGTTTCGAAATTGATTATAGCTTAAGACTCTAATCAGATAGGTGTAGGGAACGTGCATTTTGCTTGAGGTGAATTGTTCTATGACAGAGTTTTGTAGTTGAGGCGCTTTTTGCCTTCAAAAAGCAGATTTTGAAAAGGCTAGCACTTGAACCCCGTATTACAACATACAACTACCACCCAGTTTTCGCTTACACAGGGTAGTAATGGAGAGGATAATGGAGGGGAGGGGGGTAGGACTTGGGTGCTGATTACAAATCCCATCCTCTGAAACCCAGCAGGATACTAGTCTTGCTTGTGGTGTATTGATAATTTCGCCACCATCAGTAACAATTTCTGCCCATTTCTTCGCTATCAGTGCACTTTGCAGTTTTCAAAACATGGGCACAGAAGAAACTGACTAATTTGCAACTTTCAGTTAAACCCTATCCAAACCCTCTCATCACAAACTATTTTAAAATACAATGTCACACAATGCAATTTGTTGCAGTATCACTTAGGAAAATAGAAACAACTGGATAAATTGCCACTGGCGTATATTGTTTCGTTGTTGTGTAAATTGTTTCATTCAGTGAATTCTTTAACTCGTGATTTTGTTTCAGATTTGTACATGGGTTTTCAACCAGACGTATATCAAAATAGGGACACAGAGCTCAGAGGAATGTGGTTACTATAAGCATACGAAGATACCAAAACTGCAGTATTCCATGTAAGTCTACGCTATGCTACGAGACAGTCTTTTTTATTTCTCAAGATAGAAATCGTAATGAACTAAAGGAAATTTCAAAAAAGGGCGTGATCATTAAACCCTTTAGTAACTCCATGACGATTGCAACGCCCAAACGAATAGATCAGAGGAAAAAGAGGTTAAAATTTAAGTGGATGTGGGTAATATTTTGAAAAAGATTTCGCGGCAAAATATGAACAATCGAAAATTCTCCAAGTCTTCCTTTCTCCCCAGAATAGATAGAATGAGAAATCTTAGAGCCGATTCGAGGTCGATTTAGGATTTAGAACGCGCAACTTTGCCAATTGTGACAAACATACTTTTTTTGTGTCGGGCAGATTTACACAGTACAGCTTTGTTGCATGCGACTTTTTTAGCCCGCTACTTCCGTGCTATGCAAAAATCTACTCTTAATTAAACTCTTACGACAGCGTCAAAAGCGCACAGAGAATAAGAGTAAAGGAAGACCACCCAAATATTACTATGCATACTTTAGCTTTGAATCTCATTTCAAAATCAGGACCAAAAGAGAAAACACTGTCACCAACTTAGCAAATGAAAGCGCAAAATATACTTAATAAATAAACCTAACTATGGTGGTGGCGGTTGAAGTGTCAACCATTCACAGTGGTATAGATACATGAAATAAGTTAGGACCTTTCTTTTTAGGGGTATATGGAAAGCTGCTGTGTTACTGAAGTGCAACCCCAACGAAAAAGAAGGAATCTTTAAAGTACGGGAGGATAAATATCAAGATGACTATGTAAGTGAAGATAGAACCAACAACGCTAAGAGTTTCTGCCTGAGAGACCGGGGCAGACTTAAACATAGGGGATGGCCGATTTTCCTAGAAATCCACACACGAAGTTCTTATGCAGAATTATGTAAAATGCAAAAGTTTCAGCTTCATTATTCGTTTTCCATCGGAGTTCTGGATATCAGCCCCAGGGTGGTCCTGTGAGGTTAATTTCCGACCATAGCATGGGCAGTTTTCAACAACTCCCTCACAGAGCGAGTGAGTAAGAAATTATTTCAAACAAAACAAAAGTCGTTTACGAAAAGCCCTTGTGTCGAAAAACGATCTTCACCGTAGAGGAATCTTAACAGCAGTACAAATATCCGTTTATATGAGGTCAATAAAATATCTTATTATATGGCTTTGGCTTGTGGCCGATATAACGCGCGCTCTGGTTGGTTAATTGTCACTGAATTGTAGGGCATTATTCTCCCGTAATGCCCACGGACCGATTACGGATTATGCAAATTAGGAAGAGCCCGGTTCTGAAAATTCAAGCACATTGACGCGATGAAAGCCGATTAAAATCAGTACGAGAATATCAGTAGCTAAAAGTTTAGAGATATTTCTTTAATAAAATTTATATAGATGACTTACCAGTCGGTA